TCCTTATGCATTTCTCTAAACTCATAGAATGCACAATGCTAAGAGGAAACCCTAAACTATTGATGGGCTTGGAGTGATAGGGCCAGCAGTTGTATACATGAAGACCTGGTGTGAAGCATCCATAACAGGGGAGGCAGGGCATGAGCAGGCCACGGAGTATGTGAGGATATTTTTGTACCTTCCACCTCATTTCTCTGTGAGCCAAAACCTTTAAAAGACAGCCCATTAACTAAAAGAAAACGTCTATTAAATAGCTTCTGTATTAAATAGCTTCTGAAACAAAATAACAAGGGCAGGTAGAACTTAAAACCGAGACTTTCTTTGTTATCACTTCTCTGACTTTTGGCTAAGATCAAGTGCAGAGACTTATTTTATCACAATCTGGAGCCTTGAACTCCAAGATCTAGGTGTCATAGAGCTTGATTTCTTCTGAAGCCTCTCAGGCCTTCAAGCGATCTTTTAGCCGTGTTGTCTTCTATGTTTGTGTGTCTCTGCTCCAATCTCTTGTGTGTATGTGAGAATTTCATACATAAATAGAATATTTTTGACCAAATCTATCCTTCATTCTCCCTGGCAGCTCCTCCTATATCCACCACCACCGTGACTCTTTCTTCCCAATTTCATGTACTCTTTTTTTTTTTTTTTCGTTAGTTTTTTTTTAATTTTAAATAGCTTGTTTTACATGTCAATCCCAGTTCCCTCTCCCTCCCCTCCTCCCGCACTCCCCTTCCACCCTCCCTCCCACCCTATTGCCACATACTTCCACATAGGGGATGTCTAGAGTCTATCATTTTACTCTTGGTAGGGTCAAGGCACTCCCCTAAGAGTCCAGGCTGAGAGAGCATCTCTCTTTGTGCTATAGGCACATGAAGACAGATTGTATACCAGGAATAGACACTGATCCACAGCTCAGAGCCCCATAGGTTGTCCAGGCCTTCTCACTGACACTCACATTTGGGGGGTCCAGATCAGTCCCATTCTGGCCTCCCCACTGTCGGTCTGGGGTCCAAGAGCACTCCCCTGTTCAGATCAGCTGTCTCTGCTGGTTTTGCCAGCCCATTCTTTGCCAATTTGCTCATCATTCCTCTCTCTCTGTCACTGGTTTCCTTGGGTTCAGTTCAGTGCTTAGATGTGTGTTTGCCTCTGCTTCCATCAGTCCCAGGATGAAGGCTCCCGGATAGTTATAGACATCAAGTTCATTATCAGGAATGGGCATTCGAGGTGGTCCTTCCACTATTGCTTAGCTTGCCAATTGATGTTATACCTTTAGATCACTCGAGGTCACTCTGGTGCCTGATCTGTCTTCGATCCTATGATTCCCTCTTCCCCCTATTCTACCCCCACCCCCTCAACTTCCTGTTCCCCCATGACCAACTCCCTTCCTCTTTACCCCCTCTATTCTTCCCAGGTCCCACTACCCCCCCTCGCCCTGTTCCCTGTACTCTTTTTTAAACCCACCGAGTTCACTTAATGCTGCCAGTAGGAGCCGGGGTGTAGGGCCACCTGCTGGCACACAGCTATCCAATTAGCAGCCGCATCTGAAGGAAACTTGACTCTCCCTACCCCAAGCCACCAGCTGCCAATTGGCCCTCTTTCCTTTACCTCCACAGCTTTGCCTTTCTCCCCAGAATGTCAACTACTTTGGGATGATGTGATGTCTGCCGTTTCAGATTACCATTTAGTAATAGGTAGTGAAGTTACTTCCTGTTTTTTTTTTTATGGATGGACAATAGCTCATTTCTTTATAGCATTGGATACTTTTTCAGTAATCTTCTGGATGTAGCAGAATTTATCTGCCTATTCATTCACTAAAAGACACTTTGGTTGTTTCCAATATTAAGAAGTTGTGACTAAAGCTTCTATGACTGTCTGTGTACAAGATTTTATGTGTCCGGATTTTTACCCTTTGGACTCAATACCAAGGAGAGTGACTGCTGGATTACTGTGGAGAACATGTTAATTTAATTATTGTTGTTATTGTTTTTTGAGATGGGGTTTGTGTGTGTAGCTCAGGCTGTCCTTAAACTCACTATGTAGACCAGGTTGGCCTCAAATCCAGAGATTTGCTTGTCTTTGCCTCCAAAGTGCTGGGATTAAAGGTGTGCACTTCACCACCTGGCCAGAACATGTTAATTTTTATAACAAACTGTCGGCTGTCTCCCGAAGTGTCTGCGTTGTTTTTCATCCCAATATTTCCAAGTATGAGCGCTGTTACCACCACTGCTGGCACTGGCCATTGTCAGTATCTGGTCAACCTTACATGTATGGAGAGCGATCCTGCTGGTTTTTTGTTTGTTATATATATATTTTTTTAAAAAGGGTTTCTCTGTGTAATAGCTCTGGCTATCTTGGCACTTGCTCTGTAGACCAGGTTGCCCTCTCTGTGCCTCCCAAGTGCCGGGATTAAAGACCTGTGCCACCACTGCCAGGGCAAAACCCTGCTGTTTTAATGTGCATATTCCTGCTGACATCTTATGTGTAGCTTTTTGTTGCACTATTGGCTTGTTTTTCCTTCCTAGATTGTATGATGTATTCACTCTCAGTTACAATCTGAGGTATCCTATGGCTCCCTATACTTTGGAATGGTTAAATGATACAGCCAGGAACGTGAGCATTAGATTATCAAGTCATCTAATGGCTATTTCCCATTATTAAGAAAACCTTGCTCATGGGTGTTGGAGCTTAGCCCTTCTTGCTTTTTCAGGCCACAATTCTAGCTCACCAGTTCCCTTGCATTCAGTGTCCTTTTTCTCTAGTTCCTCTCAGCTTGGTTCTAGTCACTGTTTCAACCCTCATCTTGAATCACCCCAAAGCCTTTTAGCTTCTGTACCCACCACACAAGCAAGGAGAGTTGGAGCCCACAACGGGAAACCTTGATTCTTACGTAGTGGGAGTCAGCATGCTTTCTCCTTTATTGCTTTGCTTTTGTTCTCCAACAGATGGGGTTTCCATTGCTGACAGCTCATGACTTACCAGCGCTATCCTAACTGGGTACATTTCTTCTTGGTACTGAATGATGTTCCTGCAACACTGATTGTGCTCTGTGATGCTCCAAGCCCTAGCCAAAGCAGAGGTCCTGGCATGATGCTGTGTACTGTTTGCTGCCCCAGATCTTTGCTTTGCTGGGTGCACTGAGGTTCTGCAGTGTGTGCATCTCCTGAGCTCTGCACGGCAGCTTTCCGGTTGAGTTCAGCCAATGGGTGACAAAGACACAAGCACACTTGCTCCCCAACCAGGTTTACAGCCCTCACAGCACGACCTTTCCTTCACATCACTCCCTCACGCTGGCATCCGTTACCAGCACGGGGAGGAAATGCTTTAAAAATTTTTTTTTTGATTCTTGTTTGGTAAGGTGCCTTATCTACCTTGGTTTGATCTGGTAATCCAGACTGCACTTCTAAAAATATTCTTTTCTTGGTTCTTCAACGTATTCACCTATAGTTACTTATGGATTTCACTTATATAAACCTGATAGAAGGATGATATAATTTGTATTAAATACTCTACTATCACTGGGACAAGAATATTGGACAAACACTTAAAGCAGAATAACTTATTTTGGCTCATGGTCTCGGAGGGTTCAGAATGTGCTTGTTTGGCACATGAACCTGGGCAGGACATCACGGCAGCAGGAACATCTGTGAGGTTGTTACTTCATGGCAAAAAGGAAGCTAAGAAAGGAGGGGATTGTGGACTATGTATAACCTGGAAAAGCTTGCTCTTAGAGAGCCACTTCCTTCTTCTACACCCCACGCACCAGACAGAACTACTACAGAAGAACCAAACTTTCAATACACGAGCCTGAGTGGCACATTTCATATCCAAACCATGACTCTTACTTTTTCATGTGTTAGTCCCTGGGGATAATCAAAACCTGGGGATGCCAAGACTCCAAGCAGCACAACGACTGGTCCTGAGGAGCCACCAGAATTCTAATAGGTTCTGCTGGCCCAGTCCCTCTGCTTTGTCTTCAAGCAAGCCTTCTTTGAGAATTACTGACATTGTTGCCACTCTTCTAGTTGAAGCAAGGGCAAGATTGACAGAGAATCAGGAGGCAGAAAACCATATACATCCAGGTCTGATATGACTGTCCTAGCAAAAAGGGGGTCTGGGGAAAACCAAGTTGCATTTTTGCTACTGAGGAACATGTTCCTAGTATTGGATTAGCCTCCTTAGAACCAGAAGAGTTCATAACTTCCTGAAGGATATATTGTCTTATAGTTTTCTTGTGTGCTTTAGAGAAATGTTGGTGACTGATGTCATTAGAATAACTTAATGGATGGGATTACTGTTCAGAATAATTGTTACATTTCTAAGATTTTTTTAGTGGGATTATTTTTGATTTTTGATGGTGTCTGGATGCATGTTGGTGCTATTTTCTGCGTTTTGAGACATTACAAGCCATGAGCACAGATGGGAAGATCAAAGTGGGAAAGGCAGAGTCTCTCAGCTGAGGCAAAGGTCTAGTAATAGGGATGATGTTGGCCAAGCTGTTGGAGGCACATGGACAGAGATGGATTGCTTTGGGTGTTAGTTATCAGTGTCTCCTTCACACTGGGAAAAAATCAGCACCATCTGATCTACTTAAATAGATTTCTCCATAAATCATGATTCCAGAGCCGGGCGTTGGTGGCGCATGCCTTTAATCCCAGCACTCGGGAGGCAGAGGCAGGCGGATCTCTGTGAGTTCGAGGCCAGCCTGGTCTACAAAGTGAGTTCCAGGACAGCCTCCAAAGCCACAGAGAAACCCTGTCTCGAAAAACCAAAAAAAAATCATGATTCCAGAATGGAGTGTTTTATAAGATCTAATACTGAAGATTTTGCACCCTAAATTTCAAGGAGACATTTTAGCAGGTCACACGATGACACAACCCCAGTGCTCAGTGATCACAATTATTTGGAGAATTGGAAGAAATGCCTGGATGCTGAGCTCTGACCCAGGCATGTTTGATGTCCTCCCCATTCAGTGGGTTGGCGCTTACAGTAAAGGACACTTTTGCTGTACTCTGAATGCTTTTCTTTATTATGAAAGTGTTTCCAAAGTAAAATGATCCTCATAATAATGATTACTTCCAAAGATCAAGAATGAATAATAATTATATTTCCATATAAAAATCAGCAAAACACGGTAACAGTACACAGAGTAATTCTAACTGGCTAATGGTACGCCATTTCACCTCTGGCAGATGCTCAAGCACTGAACTGTCGTTAGAAAGAAAAGAAAGGGCTTCCACCACCTATCCTAGTCCTCACTGACAGTTGGAAAAGAGAAACACAACCCCAGATTAATCACCATCCTTTCAATGACAGCAAAAGGCCATGATGGTAAATGAATATGACTTGGGCAAAGGAGTGATGAAAACTGTGAGCTTAAGGGGAAGCAAACTGGAGTATTTTCCCACATTTATGTGAATTTACCTTTGAGCAAAAGTTCCAGAATCATAACATAACTATTCTAGAGCTTTGTAGCTAACGTTAAAACATTTTTCACATTAAGGACAGTTTTTACAGATACCTTATGACATTTACTGTAGGCAAAAGGATGAGAAATATGAATGAAACCCATTTTTTCACTGAACATAGAAACTATGATGACTGCTGCTGTACTTTGGTTCCCAGAAAACTCATAATACAGAAAGTCAAGCATTCATGTTAAGAAAACACACATACATGGGCACAGTTTTCTCCCTTCCCAGGAAAATGAACCAGGAAGAGGAGGAGGTGTGGGAAGAAATGATCTAATGGTCACCAGTAAACTGGAAGCAGAGACATGTTAGCATTTGACTTTGTTTTACCAGAGTTCCAGAAGGCTAAAACGACTGCAACTGAAATGAAGTAAAACTGACTCTAGGCTAACGGAGCCCTCTTATCACATGCTGGCAATCCTGAAAATGCCCAACCATACAGATGCCATTTGTCATCTGGTAGCAGAGGTCTTTTTAATTTCTTACAGTTGGTGGGGCCACAATGCCCCTATCTGCCAATGCATTCATTTAAAAGGCTTTGGGTTAAATTCAAATCACAAAATCATGCAAGAGGCCAAGGTACTCACTGGGGTGTCTACAGGTTCCATTATTTATGATGATTTATGTTCTCCAATCCAACTTTCTTCAATGAAGGGTGGCTATCTTTGAGTATTGGTTACAGGAGTTTCAAAAGCTGTGGCCAGGGCTCCCTAGCATCTACTTGGCGCCCCCAAGGGGTGAGTTGATGCTAAGTACACACAGGTAAACTATAGGGACCTCTTTGGACCCATTAGTTTGTAGAACTAAAATGTGATTGGTAGAATACTGATAATTAGCCTATAGCATTTGGAGACTCACACAATTTCAACTCAGCAAGAGAAGCTGATCTTGGGAAGAATACATTTAAGACAAAGTCTTGTTTCACTTTCTTTAAGAACTGCTTGCAATCATTCCGGCCAGGGACAGCATACTAGAGGACAAGAGCAATAATCAGAGCTCTCTCCATTTCTTTCTTTCTACAGAAGAATCTGGAAGAGCCATGTGACTACTTTTCTTTCAGGCTGACTTTTATCTTATTGGAATATTTTTCTCATTTGAATGTTAGAAACATTTCAGGGCTATATAATTCCTTATTTCCTAAGCAGAAATATGTCAAAGACAAGGAAATAAACAAGTGAGAACCTTAAGACCACAAACACCACATTTAACATTATATTTCCAAAGGTGTGGGAAGCCTCTCTGGATATAATGACGTCATCTCCCATACTGATCAAAGGACCTATAGACACCTTTGGGGTAATTTTGCATACTTTTTACACTTCAAATTAAGAAAAATACTCAAATATCCAGGCAATTTGGCATTAATTTCCACCCAAATGATTACTAATACAAGTTGAGGAATGGGTTGAAGACAATCAAGGGTGCCATACATTCTCTCAGAAGAGCTTGCCAGCAAAGACATAAACTACAATGAAGTCATTTTTAACAGGCAAACTATAACCAAGTCTCATTTTTACTTAGCCCAAATAACAATGAGATTTAAATGTAAGGTGGAAGATTCTGCGACCCTTTCTATCTAAGATGAAGGAAGGCATTCAGTTTGCTCAAACTCAAACTCTACCAAGTCTTATGCCACTTAACAACAGGGACACGTTCTGAGAAATGTGCCCTTAACTGATTTTGTCATTCTATGAGCATCACTGAGAGTACGTACATGCAAGCAAACAGTTTTGCCTCTCAGTGCCTAGGCTGTATCACCATCTTTTGGGACCATGGTAGCCCATTCTTGAGTGCAGTGTTATGGCTGAGCATACAGCTGTGTTCACATGAGAATATGCCATTCTGAGACTCAACCCATCCTATGGACTAACGATCCTGCCTTTTCTGCCTGTTCATCTCTGTTAGATGCCAGTGGCACAATCAGATGGGAATTTGGGGCATCCTCTGTCTGGCGGTTCAGCAGCAGCAGAAGCCTGGGGCTAAATGGCAATCGTTTGCATTTTTACAACAAACACTTGAATGACGCACAATACTGATACTTATGGTTGCTCCTCTACTCTCAACATCCACAGGACTGAATTTGAGATAGTGAGCTGGGTTTGGCTTATGTATGACAGCCGGTGCTCCAGGACCTGGGTTCTATCTCAGGGACCTCTGTGGATAAGAGGCTGAAAGGATTTTGCTAATCTCAACAGGTGGGAAGCAAAGCAAAGGAGAAGGGAAGTTTCTATAGTACATGTGAATATATTTTTTATGACAAGAATATGGATGAAGATGAGTCAGTAATAATTTGGTTTTACTGGTTTTTGGAGAAACATACATATACACACATAAACCACACATATCATTTACCGACTCAAGGCCAGATTCTACTTGTTTTCCTATGTTCCCCCACTAAATCTAGGTAAGCTATAACATTGGAGATCAAAAGTTACTTTTTCTAGAGTCCTTTCTACACACACCTTGGTATCCTAGGAAATTTGAATGCAACCAGGAGGAAGGGGAGGGACATCATCACAGGCTAAGCTAATTAATGAGAACACCACTTGGAACTAACCTACATCTGGATTTACAAGTCACACTTCTGAAAGCTATGACCTGGCACAGGTGAACAAGATTCCTCACACAGTACCCATTCTCAGCCTTATCTGGTCACTATGTGAGAACAGTAGCCAGAGATATCAATATCCTATGCCAGAATAGCCTACAAAGTCTATTTCAACTCGCCAAACACAATTATTTTCTCTGGAATGTAAAAATGAAACAAAAATCTACAGACATGTAGAAGACCCAGTCAGACTAATGGTGTCAGAAAGCATGTTACTAGTCTAGAAGGTTTAGAATTGCCTTTGAGATGGATGGAATCATCTTACTTACTTTTACATACTTCTTCTGAATTTACAAACTGATCTTAAAATTCTTCTGTGCTAAAAAGGGTCACCTGGTTCAAATTCAAATACACCGTGGGTCTCAAGTTGATTTCCTTCCTGGGAGGATGTGCCCAGACACTGACGCAAGCTGGGCATGGCTCCTCGGCTTAGCTGACAGGAAGGGTTCACCTTCTCAACACTGCTATTGTTTTCCCTCTATTGGCATTTGAGCAAATGCTCTGATTACTAACAATACCTTTGGTGTCTTATCACTGGTCTCCTAAAACTCAAACACTTCCAAGTTTTACTCCTAGACATATAACTGTTTGGGTTAATAAATCAGCAAGGCTCAACACACAGTCAGTTGCACTGTCTTCTACAGTTACAAGTAGACAAGTTTCCAAGCTTTGAAAATCTTTATCTGGACTATACCAGAAAAATACTGTTTTGCAATTGGGTGGAGAAAGATCTTACATTACAGCAAGAGTTCTTTGGGAGTTTTCTCTTAACTATTCACTCACAGGCTTCAAAGCATGGCTATGAAGATTTAATTAAAAAAATCAAATGAAGTGTGGATGGCTCTGGGCAGGACAGACACACACTGTAGCACTTTGCTATTGGCTACTTGGTGGCCCTGATTGTTTTGTATTCTTGTTTTAGATGATGTTTGACTTATGAATATTTGTATTACCATTTAATTCCCTTTTTTACTAAAGATGAGAGAAAATCCTTGGCTTATCTGTGTGGTTTCTGGAGCCCCATGCCACTGACAATGCCCTGGGTGGGTGGAGTCGGGGCGCTCATGAAGTTACTCTTTGGTAATTTTTTTTTCATGGTTTTGTTACTGCCATTGTTCAGTGGAAGTTTTGCTGTTTTTCTGGAAATAGCTCCACTTGAATAAAAGTTCTTAGGAGCCCCCATGAGTCTTCAAAGCAGTAAATAAAACAGATTTGCAGTGCAGGCCCGATGCTTCTAGCAACAAGAAAGTCATTGTGGGACACACTTAAGGAGAAAGGCAAAGGGTAAATGGTCTTTCTTCCGTTGGATTTATTTTCCTCAACAAAATAAAAACAAGTCTACTGCTAGGTAGGGCTTTCTCTTGAGAGCTGGTGGCAGCAAAGTGGTTTGCACAGAACTAGTCTTCACCAACTCTTAAAAGACTCTCTTTTTCTGTTTCAAAACATTCTCGGCTTCTTTTTCACACAGGACAGAAGACGGGGCTAATACATCAGGAGACCTGGTTGAAATCAGTTGCTATCCATACATGATTCCCAGAACACAGAGCAAGTCCCCAGTATGTGGGTCCCTTTGTGTCTGTGATCTTAAGCAAGTGACATTGTTTCAGAATCAGAATACTGGCCTCATTGAATGGCAAAATAAGTTACCAATAAGGTCAACTACTAACTATCCACCACACAAGAGACAAACTATTCCAAAGCAATTTTCATATGAAATTTCAAAGTTTCCTAATAGCTATCCTCTCTCATTTTAACTGCTAATTGACCACAAAGAGTGGCAACTAAAATACCTGGTTCATCCTGTTTAGACTCACATGGGACAATATGGGCAATTATAAAACGGGTGCAGAACAGAAAGAAAGCCAACCTATTGGGAACTGTGTGAGGATCTTGCATGGGGTTTTACTTGCTCTAAAGTAAGCTGATGCTCACAGCACATTGGATTACAACATGAGAAAGGTGTAGAAACAGATGGAGCATCTCCTTTGTGGTGAGTCACGAGCCCAGAGGAAAAGGAGTGAGGGCATCCTCGCCTGTCCGAAGATTTACAAACAAATAAAAAAATAAATAATATTCTAAGACAAATGCAAATACTGTTCCCTTGTGTCAGTTACACACAGCATGCCTACATAGAGAATGGGATTTCTTCTTCATTCACAGACAGGACACATGGCAGCACACTATTCAGAATGCTTTGAGAATCCTAATTTTTGTCTCTGGTGATGAAATATCATGAAAGGAACTGCATTTGCAACTTATTAAATACTTCCAGGAACAAACAGTTCACTTTGTTGAGAATTTATAGTTTGGGATAATCAATCATCCATGGAGCATGGACCAGTTAGGAGATATCCGTTGGTACCACTGGTTCCATTGGTGGTTGTCGAAGTGTGTGGTTTCTTTCCTGGAGGTTCTGAGTCCTCATCCTCTGAGCTAGATTCAATATCACTCCGGTCATCCTTGGATACCTGTAGAATACAAGAGGGGGACTGTAACCAGCTCCTAGGACCAGCAGGCTATGGCATGCCCAGCAGCACATGCAACCTCACAACAAGATAAACTTATTCATGTGTTATAAAAAACCAGGAGGAGAATGTTCTTGGTTCACATGCTACAAAAAACCATGAGAATGATCAAGGAGGTGATATGTTCTCTTCACTGGAAGGATATAATGTGTACAACACAGTAGGCTATGAACAATGTAAGTGAATTTAGACATCACAGAACCTGAAGGTCATCTTTCACCATGGAGAATGCCTAGACCATGATTTCCATCCTTTCCCACAGTGATAGTGGCATCTACGCTACTTGGTGTCACTTTAGGAACTGGGTGCAAATGAGTCAATTTATTATTTATTCACTAATAACCACATTCTCCATGACAATTACTTAAGGTTAACTCTCAATTACCATGCCAATAGAAATAGTCACACACTAGCTCAAATCATCAACACAAATCATTGCTATTTGGCATTGTAATTCATTGTTTTATATTTAATTTCCTTTCCTTTTTTTTTGCTAAAATTACCTTGAAATTTTATTTTAGAAGTAACCTAATAAGAAATAGTGCCAGGTGGCATTCTGAAGATCTTCTAGATGAGACAGGGCTTCAATTTTCACCAGGAAGAAAGGTAGTGGTCATCCTCAAAAATGCTTTACTATGTGCCAATTTCTTCAATCTTCTACTCAGTTTCATTTAAGTAATGATGACAGCAAAGTAAGGCACTAGGATATATGTCTATATGTTAACATGCAATCCTACTATGTAGCAAGGAAACACTGTGTTGATTTAAAACCATAATAATTAGAATCTCTTTCTTTGTGAGTCTAAATTATAGCCAGCATTTTAATCTGGAGGTTTAAAATCTTCAAGTAAGTGCACTCTTAATTAAACAGTCAATTTTTATATTGATACCATGCCTCACTGTGTAGCCCAGACTTGCTTTAGTCTCCTGAGTGCTGGGATTCTAGGTATCCACCAACATGCTTAGTTTTATTCACAAAATTATTAAGTTGGATGGCCATAGGATCTTGCTGGCCTGGCTTCATGGGAATCTTCCCAGCTTGGTCTTCGGTGATTCTCTAAGGGCTGGGCAGAGAGGCTGGTTGGGGTCTCTGGAAGGTGTTTCAGAACTAGTGGGGACCTTTCATATCCGATCCTCTCCTCACCACCGTCACATCAACTGGAGAGTGTAGAACCTACTCCCTAGAAGCCATTAGGGAGTAAGGACATCATTATTTGCAGGGAGGGAGAGATGAGAGAAGTGAACGCTGAATACTGTCGTTCCAGTCTAACCAGCAAGGGCTAAATTTCGTGCACAGATGATCTTCAATTCCAAGTCCTCTGAGGTGAGACTGAGCTCACCTGGACTATCTCACTCAAAATCAAAACAGAACAACAAACTTAGATACCCAGGCAACAAATGACTGAGGGGATAAGAATATATCAACTTAAAAGGCATGAGTCATAAAGGCAGTATTACTGTAAAGCTCTACTATATTTATAAATCTATTAGTCACCAATTAAGGTGCTAATATAGGACTGGAGTTGCAGAGAGTATTAATTTGCATGCCTAGTAAGATTACTTTAGATTACATTTGGAAAAATCATAGTTAAGATACTGTCAAAGAAAAGTGGCAATTTGGAATGTCTACAAATAATCCACAGGAAGGCCCATGGACAAGCGCAATCTTAGTGTGTTAGGTGAGAGCAGCAAGGGCAGAGAGGGAGTCCTGAAGCCAAAGCTGTGGAATGTATTAGTGCTCATTCCTTCATAGACATGAAGGGACAGCAGTTAGAGGGAAGACGACAGGCCTGGTGGGAATCGCAATGCTATAAGGATACAAGTAATCTAATCTACTGCAGCCTTCATTTTTAATTATTATCATATTCCCAGTACTATGTGTGTTGATTTAATTTGTGTTCAAATGAGGACAGGAACAAATTCAAAAGAAGCATGAGTTCTTTTGAAACATAAGTCACAGGGAAAAATTAACTTTATCTCTTAAGAAATTAGTTGATCAAGATATTTTGGATTTATATAGGTGGTGATGCTGAGGACTGGCTTCATAGATCATGACAAGTTTCCCAGATGTCTCCTGAGGAAGGAGTGAAGTCTATGGACCTCTGAGGACAGGGGTCAAGTGGCACCCTCTGTTTTCTGAAGATCAGGGCATCTGTAGCCCAGGCCTCCTTTCTGCACCACACGTATCAACTAGTTTTGTTTCTCTCACTTCACATGATCTGTTTCAGTCTCTTAGACAACATGGTAGGCTCCAATAGAAAAAATACCTTCCTTCCTGTTGGACCAGCAAGATTTACACACTCATATAAAGGGACAATGGCAGAACTCTCCCTGGTGCCTTTTGCAGTTATGGAAACTACAACTGCCACAAAGCTTCCAGAGGACCAGCAGGTTAGATGGAAGACAATGCATGGGACAGAGCCCCTAAGCGCCCCTCCAGCAGGCAAATGTACCCAGGACAGGAAGAGAGAAGGCAGGAGACTTACATGTAAAGGGTTCCACTTCCCAGCCTTCCAGGGTGGCAGGAGGAAGAGAACAAAAAATGAAGTAAGAAAACATCATGGAGAAAGATCTGGAAATGTCACTGCTGTAGTTAAAGGGGCTGGAGCTCAGGAAGATTTATTTAAGCCAGGCCCATGATTCCATTTTAAAACAGAGACAAGTCAGTTTTGTTGGAGAAGTCATGAATGTATTTATTCTTCCATTTGAGAGAAAGGCCCGCTTAGAAATGTGCACATGACACCAACCAATCCTTTTCTTTCTTTTTTTTTTTTGAAACAGGATTTCTCTGTATTGCTTTGGAGCCTGTCCTGGAACTCGCTCTGGAGACCAGGTTGGCTTCAACCTCACAGAGATCCGCCTGCCTCTGCCTCCCAAGTGCTGGGATTAAAGGCATGTGCCACCAATGCCGGCTGGACACCAAGAAATCCTTAAAACAAATTATTAAATTAAATTTCTGCTTACTATAAACAATCAGAGAAAGTCCGAGGGAGAGAGAGTGGGAAAAGATCCACAGCAAATAGTATGTCATCATTAAGTCTAAAATTGTAAATGCTGGGTGTCATCATGCCCAAAGCAACAGAGAAACTTTTTAAAAAATGAACTAATGGGAAGAAAATAATTTGGTTTGTGTTTCAGGGTGGTTTTGGAAGGAATAACACTGATTTTGATGAAATCAGAAATAAGTGATTTCAAAGGAGCCAAAAATACCCTGACATTTCTGGGACATATTGGAGAAAGTGAGTTTTAGCTTACCTTGCCTTTTGAAACAGCTTTGCAAGCTATTTTTACAATCATGTAAGACCAGAAGCAGTTCAGCCCTTGTAATAGCAACAGCAACAGGTTAAAAACCCACCAGGAAGGGTAAGGTCCGACGATCTCCCAACTTTCAAACAGTGTGGTATTTAACACCCTGAGGAGGAGAAAAAAGCCATTACTGAACACAGCGTTTCTTTCCGTTCTGAAGGAGTCCTAGTGAGTCCACGGAGCGCAAGGTCAGCAGCCTCCCCCACTGCCCCTCCCTTCCTGGGGAGACAGCCTGGAAGTTAAGCAGGTACTCGTCTCTTGCAACAGTGCCCTGATGGTATGAGCTGCAGCCATTCTATCCTGAGCAGCGTATTTTGAGCTCCTTGCTGTTTAAAACACTGTGTACTTCACTGGCATTGTGAAAATCCACATTACTGCCTAACAACCGCCATCACTGACCTGTGGAACACTTGAAAAAACGGAGACTCTGGACCCATTAAACAGTAGTTCTCGACCTTCTGTCCCAGGAAACTTCTACTCTATTTTCTGCCTCTGTGAGCTGAGCTATTAGGGTCTGTTTGTGGAATCATGAAGAAGCGGTTATTGGCTCCTTCTGTCAAGGTTTATTCACTTTGCACCAAGGAGAAGGATTTCTTTCCTATTGAAGAATATGTACGTACCACACTTTGTATTTCACCAGCAGACACCTGGCTTTGCTCCCATCCTTTGGCTATTGTAAGTATTGCTTGTCAGAGTTTGGGCTCATACAGTATCTGTTCTAGCATACGTCTTTTGGCTCTACACATAGAAGCGAAATTCCTGAATTCCACTGATCTCTCCTTCACTTTGCCATTCATTGCTTCCTCTGTGAGTTTCAGTCCTCTTTTGGATATAATTATCTAACAACGAATTTAAAAGGCCTACATTGTCTTCCAAGTTGCTTTCTGTAGTGTGAAGAATGCTACCCAATATTATATGTCAAGAAATAAAAAATAAGGTGAACTCTTAAACACTAGTCCAGTGCAGACCACATGCTGCACACAGCAGCAATTAGAATATGCATGAGAGCCATCCAGGATTGCATCTGCTTGGGGCTCCATTAGAGGGCTCTTAATTTTCTAATCCTTCCCCTGGGAAAGAACTGACAACTGAAAGACATCATTTGAAAGTGATGCCTTGATATCAGTATTTGAAAGGCTTGTTTTTACAAAAAATTATGAGACTATAATGAATGCTTTTAGTTTGTTTGTTTGTTTCTTTGAGACAGGGTTTCTCTGTATTGTTTTGGAGGCTGTCCTGGAACTTACTCTGTAGACCAGGCTGGCCTCAAACTCACAGAGATCTGCCTGCTTCTGCCTCCCGAGTGCTGGGATTAAGGGCGTGCGCCACCAATGCCCGGCGAATGCTTTTGGTTTTAAAAGTGTGTTGGAATAAGTACTTGTGTTAGGAAAAAACAAAGGGTAATTGGCTCTATAATCTTCCACAAGACCCAGCAGGGGGCAGCCACACGGAACAGCCTGGTTCCAGGACTCTGCCCTGATTGGCCTGTGCTGCTCTCAAGGCATTGGAGATTGACAAGTCATCTGGATGCCTAAGGCTGTCACAGAGTCACATGATGCCCTGCTTCCTCACATGACTTTGGGGCCACTCCTACTTCCCTTCTCTCAGTTGTCACTGGGCTGTATTTTCATCACTCACAATGGCAGCATTTTGCTTGGGACCAGTCAGACTGTACAGGTGGGGCTACAGGGGCAGGCATGAAATGGCTAAGGGGGTGGACTGCACCTGGATTTAAGGTAGGAGCCACTCACACAAGGCCTGAAGGAAAATATACAGGGAATTTAAATAAACAGCATGATGACTGTTTTCAGAGAGGTTTAAAAAATGCTCTTTACAACAGGGAACTTACTGTCACAAGTAACATAAGAGTTCAAGGGAAAAAGAATGCAAAATAGACCTAAGTGTGCTCCCCACTCCCAGTTTCAACAACTTACTCTGGACTACACAGTGTCTAATGCTCTGCCTTTAATCTTGTCACGCCAATTATCTCCACAGAACAGTTCAGAACTTCCCTGCCCTGAAAGATACTTCAAGAACTTCTAATGATGGAGGAAAAAGTCATGGGGGGAGGAAGGAAGGGACAGAGGGAGGGACAGAAGGAAGGAGGGAGAGAGAATATTAAAGTTCATGGGATTCCCTTTGGTGGCTCATAGAATTTGATATTTTCTTGACATTCTTCGATTTTTCTAAATTTATAACAAATGATTTTTTTTTAAAAATACTAGTGATTTCTGAGAAAGAGTACATTGAGATAAATAATCTCTATAGTGCTTTCCTTGTTTGTGCTAAGTGGCTCTGGTCTCTTGAAATGCCCCTTTGCAGACCAGAGACCATCAGGTCTAAAGAAGGCTTCAGTGCCACGGCCGTGGGGGAGGGGTCCGCACGCCTTACGTTTTTTTATTTGCAGCTGCATTCAGAACCCCTGGCAGTAGCATGTTTGCTGAATGACTTTCGAGTTGGTTTATCTAGCAGCCAAGTGAACAAGCACGAGCAACGTCTGGAATGATCACAATACTCTGATTACAGAGCTGGCCCTGCCTCTTGACACACACGTCTACACCCCGACACTCAGTTTCACTGGGTCTGCATAGACATCCACACCAACTGCATCGCGCTGTGCAGCGTGCAGTAGCATCCGCCTGGCTGCAGGCTGGGAGCCTGTCTCACCAATGTCGCACATGGCTTAATTTGAGCAGTGGCTGGTGACACGGCACTCATTAATTTCAGAAAAGCTACATTAGAATTGCATCAGCTTTGCTGTGACAGCCACTGGCGTCTCAGAGATGCCACTCAAAGATACTGTGATTTATCTGAAAGTTGACTCCGTGGCTTGCAGAGACACTTGGGAAAATACAATCACAATACAGCTCCACGGGAGCTTGGTAAGCGAGGGCACCAGAGACAGCTAATGTATGACACCTGGACACCGAAAAGTAGCAAAGCTAGACTGTTCTGAGCAAATGGCCCCCCTGTTTGGACAAGCTATTAAAATGGTGATGACAGGACCTTAGTTTTTCAGAAAGGTTAGGCCTAGGAATATGGACTGTGATGGTGCCATTATAAGCCCATGGTGACAGATTCCAGAAGTGTAGCTGTCTCTCCTCTCAGTTAGGACTGGTCAGGGCAGGGGAAGACGGAGGTTGATGGGATCCTGGAAACTTTCATGTCCTCATCTGGGTAGTGACTGTATGGGTTATGAATACATAAAATGTACAAATGTGTACATGCGGCAAGCTGTACCCTGGAGGGCTGTGCACTATACTGTAGCTGTGAATCCTATGCCTATAAAATGGAATGGAGAGAATTCTCCGTGTCAAACAAAACACGCATGAACGCTATCAACTTGCAATTTCTTGTCTTTCTGTGTAATTACTGCAGTGGTATCAGGGTATTCCCTCCCTGCCCCTTCCCGCCCCCCCAGCCCCATCTCTGGTCAATGTATTAACTCTGGGAAAATAATAGTTTTCTTTCCCACATAATAGTTCTTTCCCAAGTAGCAGCAAACCTCTCCTGCTGTCTAACAAGGGGAGAGTATGGGGAAACAAGGATCAGCCAGGCACAGACCTTTCTGTTTCATTTATTTATTTCGCTATGATTAGGCTCACTTGACCACTAGGTGGCACATCAGGCACACACGATGCATGAGCCCATGGAATTATTCCGCCAAACCCAGCACTGGCAACCCTTGATCTCTAGGTGGCACCCTTCCTTCTAAAAGTCTCATCAATCAATGGGAAGAAGGAGTGTTTTTTTTTTTTTTTTTTTTGCTTTTTCGAGGCAGGGTTTCTCTGTGGCTTTGGAAGCTGTTCTGGAACTAGCTCTTGTAGACCAGGCTGGTCTCGAACTCACAGAGATCCGCCTGCCTCTGCCTCCCGAGTGCTGGGATTAAAGGCGTGCGCCACCAACGCCCGGCAAGAAGGAGTTCTTGTGTAAGCCTCTTCCTACATAGGTCTATATAGGTCTGCCTGAACAGGTGTCTGCAAGGAGCCCACGCAATTCCCTAGAGATAAGCAGATGTACTGTTGACCACACATCTGCTTGGCTGGGGTGTGTTATTTTAACAGATTTTAATGAATCATAAGAATATAATTCGCTTTGCCCTACAGTGATTTCTACTCTAGTTTTACCTCTTATGGACACTTTATCTTAAACTTGATTTTGAAATAGATACATAGAATGTGGTGGCTGAATGCTTATATTCCTGGAGAAAAGTTTACAATGTTTTTGTTGTTGAGCAAAGAATCTACAGAACAATCTTATTTTGACGAAACATTTACTGCTATTTTCATTAGCATCTAGAATACCAATACAACTTAAAGCAGTCTGCTTTCTTTCTTTTCGCTGGGATTCTGGGGGACTTGGAGAAACGCCCACAGACATCTCATCTAACAGTGTCACCTAATATAAGAATGAAATGTCTATGTATTTCATTCCTATAGTGACTTACAAGTACAAATTTAAGTTTCCTATCTTTATTACATATAGTTAGGTAAACTCTCACATATTCAGTGTCATCCATCATGTTTTTGGAGTACCCCAGGGATGTGAACGTAGGGACACAAATGGTAATGGACAGATTAAAGGCAGCCCAGGAGGTCCTACTGCACAAATATCACAGATAGTTTATTTCTCAGTGCTGGGGGCTGAACCCAGGACTTCCTACCTGGCAGGCAGCCACTCAACTGCTGAGCTATGTCCCCAGTGCTGGGTGGATGTCTTGGGTGAAACTGTGGTCCCTAGTTATGGAAAACATTCTCTGCCCTGTCTCTTCTCTATTCCCACCAGGGAGTTCTATGGTGGGCCTTGAGTTTTCTAGAATGATTTCTACTGAGAACCGTTAGCATTAATCAGGCCCACACTGAACATCCAAAGAGAGTCCAGATTTATTCTCTAGGAGACAGAGACAGAGTGTCATCCCAAAGAAGGCCACATGCCAGAGAAGACACTCTGAAAGGCGGAATGTCCCCATGGTCAACATTAGGGTTCCCTACTTCAGCCCTTATGCATGGTCTTGACATCAGATTTCCAAAGAGAATTCAGTTTACATTATGCTTTGCTTTTTTTCTCTGATGTAAATGTGCCAGCCACTTAACTAGCTGGCATGTT